GCTGGCGTGGCGCGGGCCCGCGAGGGCGGTGGCCTGGGTCTGCGGCACGGTCTGTCGCGGGCCGCAGCAAGGTGGCCGATCCGCCCGGAGGAGACCGGCCCGCTCCTCGCCTGGTCTCTGCGCTGGGAGTCTGGGAACTCCGGGCCGCCGTCACAGCTCTAGGGGCCGGGGGCGGCCGGGGCGGCCGGAACCCTCCCTTGCCCCACCTGGCCTCCCTTCCCACCTTCCCGGGAGCACCGGGACGGGGTGGGGGGTGGGGGTGGGGTAACCTCACACAGTGCGGCTGCCGGAAGCTGGGTGGGTAGTTGTGATCACAGGCCCCGGTGGGCGGGGGGGAATGGAGGCTCATCTGTCAGCTTGGACGATTCTGGAAAGCTTAATGAAGCCTCTAGCTGGGGCTAGGTGGAGAGCAGAGGCTTCCGGGCCCTGGGAGAAAAAAGCCCTGAACAGCTCCGAAAGGGGAGCGGCCGGGGAGGGAAACCCCAGGGAGTAGGTGGGGGAGGGGTCCACTCTGCTTGGCATAAAGGAGCGGATGACCCTCGCCTGCCACTGGCAGCTTTGGGCTTGACGCGGCATATTCAGAGAGCAGGTAAGGACAGCAGATCTCCCGAAAAGGGTGAATAGATGTGCGGGGTGGGGAGACTGAGGGAGGCCAAGGAAAGGGAGGGGCAGGGGTGGGGCCGTTAGGAAGTCCCCCGGGAGTTGGTGGGGTGGGATGGAGTGGAGAGCTGGACACCATGGCGGGAAGGCAGAGCACGGGAGGGGAGGACAATGAATCTCCCTGTCCCATGGACTTCAATTGCTCTTCAGCACCCAAATTGTCAGGTTTGGGGCGTGAGGCAGTAACTGCCTGAAAGGAACATTTATTTCTAAGTCAGCCCTACCCTACAGAGAAATGTGTGATAGATGACTCAGATATGGAATCCATCGCTGAGGAAAAAGGTTAAGCAAATGTGAAGAAAACAAGACTGGGGAGAGGTGGTGCCACTGAATTGAGAAAAGCAATTTCCCTTCAAATTGGATGTGATCAATTGTAAATTTGTGATTTCATCATTACAATAAGACCTTGGGTCCTTTTCTGACACGTGACCGTCTTCAGCAGTCAGCTTCTACATTAGAAAGTAATGAAGCTCTTCTGTCTTTAAGAGAAGCCTTTATTTAGTTCAGCCACCTCTAATTCTTTTTGATCTCCCAGAATTCCTAGGAAAACTGATGTTGTGCAACTTTCCTTGTAGTTTGGGGGACTACACAAAGATGGGGTGCTTTTGGAGGCTGAAGGAAAGTCCTGTAAATGTGTCTGACAGGTTGGCCTGACAGTAGTGTTGGGGAGGGGAGGAGAGCTGTGGCCTGTGAGGTATTAGTGTGGCTCATGTTTCCAGTTCTTTTGGGAAAGGAACTAATTTAGGTGACCTATCTCCCTGATAGCTGGAGTTCTCAAGTTTAAGCACTAACGCTGCCCTTAACTGTTGAGCATGCAAATCTTTCTCCCCCATATTAAATATGTCACAGCTTGACATCAGGCCACTCCTGATGTCAGTGGATTTTTTCTTGGTGACTTAGAGCACAGGATTTGTCAGTTTTTGCACTAAGGGTCTTAGTGTAGGGAGTCTTTTGAGGGAGTGAGGTTTGCACTGAGGCTTCAGCACTGCTTTTGTTGATCCCCTGACTGATCTTTGCTGTTCTTTTCTTTCTTAACCCTGTCATTTCTCCCATCTGCAGACAGTGAACTTTCCAATGTACTCCAGAGCTTGCTCCAAGCAATCAGACTATCCAGCCTTTTAGAGGTGAGATAACTGTGTGGATGGTGGCTTAGGGGTGGGGGTGGAAGACTGGGGGTAAGAGGAGGAGAGGAAGACAGGCTTTGGACCTACCTAATTTTCCTTCCTGTTCCTGGTTCTGCTCTGCATGGGCACCTGATGGAAACAGGTTGGCCAGTGTCAAGCTGTTCAGATGCTGACAGAGTCTGGTTGGGTGCTTTCATGTCTGTGGACAGTCATAGAGGTGCTGTCCTTCCGAGGAGGCCATGTCCTATTCCTGAGCGGTTGACTCTTAGTTTCCTGTGGGAATTCCCCCAACCCTTTTCTTGGGTCAGAAGTCCATATTCTTTGGAGCTAGATCTGGGTTTGACATAAACGAGGCAGTACTTTTTGGGGTCAGAGAGCAGTGAGGTCATGGAGCCAGGGGTTAGGATTGCACAGCACCCAGAGAGGTGGCTGGCGAGTGTGAGAGCACGTGTCCTCTGGTCCACTGCTGGCTGGCTCTTGGTTGGATCCAAATGTAAGCAACCTCCCAGATTAAGATCACATGGAGCCTGAGCCCGTGACCCTGAGTCATGGGGTCAGAGGAGGAGGAAGAGGGTGGGCAGGATGAAATCACTGCACATGAGGCTTATCCTCTGAGTGGGTGGTCACTTCTCACTGCTGTCCTTTTCTCAGGCCCCTGGGCAGGAGTGACAGGGGGAGGGCATAAATAGCCAGGGCCTGGGGCAGAGGGAAGTGGTTAGGACCTGGTCCTGGTGATCTTGGAGAAACTTCCTTTGGTCTCATTGATTGAAAATGTAACAAACATCTGGGAGAAAGCCACCCATGCTGTTAAACACCCCTTGCCTGCCACCCCCAGTACTGCCACCCCGGCATATGAGATTCCAGATGGAAGCATTGAGTGTTCAGGGTTTGCAGGGTAGAGCGCTGATATCATCTCATTTAACCATCATCACAGTTCTGTTCGCTCCGTTGTGTGGATGGGTAAAGGGAAGCCCAGAAAGGGCATGTCATATGTCTAAAGACACAAAACTGCAAATGCCAAGCTATCTGCTGCCAGAACTGACTCTTTGCCACTCCAGAGTCAGGCACAGGCCTCACCCCATTCCAGAGCCTGGCAAGATGTGCTAAGGACCCCCAGGGAAAGCGGAGGAAACTCAACTGGGAGCTGGGGCAGGGCCAGGACAGGCCTCACCAGAGGGGTGGGGCGGTGACATGACAGCCCAGTGGAAACCATTGCCGAGCATTCCTGCCCTTCTAGAGGCCTGGTTGCAGCACACTGTGCCTCTAGCGTTCCCTCCATACAGTTCCAGCTTTGCCAGCTGCCCCCATTTTCCCACTCATTCTCTTTGCAGTCCAGACAATGGCTCCTCACATGCCTAACGCTTTGAGAGAGTACACTGGAGGGAAGTCACTGGGAGCAGAAGCATTTTTTTTTGTCGGGAGCCTTGGAGTAGGGAGCCATAGTACTTTTGGGAGGTAGGGTTTCCTAAAGTCAATACAAGGATCCCACTTTGCCCAGAGGTGAGGGTGGTAGGAATTATTTTCCTCCTTTTGAGGTGTGGAATTGAGTCTGAAAATGGTTAAGTCGGATTTGGCCTTGGGTGTAACAGAGCTTGTGAGTCAGAATTTGGACCCAGAGGTCAAATTTGAGCCCTGAACTCAGTCAGGCCTGCCTCCTCCTGAGCTCCAGCTGTATCCTGATAAGTCCATTTAATAAGTGGGTGTGAGGTCTAGAGGTGCTTGGTCATCTCTAATGGTGAATGATGACTGATTCTTCCCCTCACCCCCATCTCTACGCTCAGCTTTCCATCTATAAATGGGTCTGGAGATGGGCACTGGCTTGGGAGAACTCAAGGAAGTTTTCACACTCTGAGGACCTGGGGAACCACCTGCCTGAGGGGGAAACCCTGGGGGGACCTGAGTACTCTGGCACTTAGGTGGAAAGGGGATGGTAGAGTGGTTTGAGGATGAGCCTCTTTGAGAGTAGGAGCTTAAAGAGGTGGAGGCAGGGGGGTGTTTAAGCTGAACACATCTGGAGAAAGATGGCCCTTGCCTGCGTGACATCTGGAAGACCTTCTGGAAGGGATGGGGTTTGCAGACATATTTAGGTAGGCACCTAGCAGGACTCAATAGAATTTGAGTAGCTGCCAATATGTGTTGCGGGCATGCCAGGGTTCGACCAGGCTCTGCCCTGGGATTTGTCATGCTTTTTCATCCCTTCCCTTCCTCTCTCCGCTTCCCTCATTCCCATCCCTTTTCAGGCTCAGTGTAACTTCCACTTCTCCCAGGGTTCTGTGCCTCTGGTGGTGATGTGTGTGGACTTGCACACATGTGCAACCATGAGTAACCCCTACACACACCTCAAGTTCTGAGATGCTGTCGTGCTGCCTTGTCAAGTGACTGTTGAGCCCCCAGAAGATGCAAGCTCATTTTGGGGTGAACCTGCAACCAGAAGAGGTTGCAGGTTCATGCTCTCAGACCACTGAAATGGTGGTTCCCTCTGATTTTGCCTCCTCTTGGTTCAAGTGCCCCAACTTCAGTGGGGAGAAGGTGCCCCAGTGGGGATAGCGTGGCTTTGGAAGGCCAGTGTGTCTGCTGTTTCCTGTACTCCTCTCTTCATTGTTCTTCCTAAAGCAGTGGGAAAGTAGGCAGAGGATGCCAAGAAACCCTTGGCCTTTCTTTGCTGGGCTGGCCCTGATGACACATTGCTGCCTGACTCACACAGAAATCACTTTGACGGGAAGAATTGATTTTGTCTTGGTTGGGATCCCAGGGTTGGGGAGTGGTGCCTGGTGGCTGGCTTGGCCCACAAAAGGTCCAAACTGGTGCAGATGATCAGCCAAAGGGCAGGTCTTCCAGGGAGCTCTGGAGAACCCCCTTCCTCACTCCTCAGGCCCCCATCCACTTACAGATCTTACAGACCTCCTAGTCCTAATGAAGTCAGTTTAGATAATTTTGCTCAGTTGTACCCTATAATCATCCTATGTGGGGGGAGAGTTCATAACCCCCATTTTACAAATGAGCAAACTGATACTTGGAGAGGGTGTTTCTCAAAAATTCACATAACAGGGAAGTTATAGAGTCTGGATTTGAACCCATACCTCTGACTTCAACGTCATCTTCTCAAACTCTGGGGCTCAATTTTTCAGGAAACCTCTTGTAACTGTCAGTCCAGCATGTCACCATGGTCACAGCACAGAACTGTGGCCCAGGCCCTCCTTTGAGGGTTTAGGAGACAAGACCTAGAGAGGCAGTGGGTGTGGGCCTAGCAAGCGAGGGGTGGGGGGCTGGTGTAAAATCCTTCTATGTCTTTGGTGTTGCTGGTTTTCTTTGTTCTGTTATTACTAGTAAAAGAATATTGTCTCTTCTTCAAAGTTATAGAAGTATATTAACTAGAAAGTGGAAACAGGGCAACCCTAGTGGCACAAAGTGTTAAGTCTCAGAGCTATGAAGCTATCAGCAGCCGCTGCATCATCAGTTCAATCCCCGGCCAGGGAGCTGACCCACTTGACACGGCAGACCTCTCTGACCCCACCTGCTGCTCCCCTCAGTAGTGTATTTTCAGTCAATCCACCTCTTCTTCTCCTCACTCTGCTAAATCCTCTCCCTGCCATGTCTCTGGCTTATACCCCAGCTCTTGTATGCAGAAATAAATAAAAAATTAAAAAAAGAGAGAGAGAAGAAAGTGGAAGTAGATTCATCTCATTGTCTTGCTGGACTCACTTTCAGAATTTTTCCTATTTAAAAATATCCATCTGTCCATCTCTCTATTTTTACATTCATTCATTCATTCATTCATTCATCAAACAATGCATGAAGCACCCCTGGTGTGCCAGGCCTGTGCCACAATTAAGAATACATTAGTCTAGCTCAGAGGGGTTTGCATGATACTAGGAAACCTGCAATGAAAAAGAGGTACTTCCTTAAAGTGGAAGACTCTGACCCAGCTTTTCTGCCAAGGTGACCCTCGTGATATCTTTATCCTGTTAGTCATGTCATCCAGGAAGAAGGAACTGTGTATACAAAAACCCGGTGAGGCAGGGAAGAGGATCCCATGTAGGAAATGGCTGAGGCCTACCTGGGCTATGATGCCGGGCTGGGATTCTGTCGACCACCTGATAAACTTAAAAGTGATGACACAATATACTGGATGTTTTCTAGCCTTGCCTCTGACTGCTGTGTAGGGTGTACACTGGAGTATGGAATGGGGGGTGGAGATGAAAGTGGGGAGATCAATGGCCATGCAGCTAAGAGAGGATAATGACTTGGAAGAACAGAGAGAGAAGCAGAGGTGGAGAGGGATAGAATAAAGATATATCCAGGGTCGGCAAACTGTTCCCGCAAAGGGCTAGCGAGAGAATATTTCAGGCTTCGCGACTATTCTAACTACTCCATGCTGGTGTGGTGGTGCCACAGAAGCCACAGGCTGGGTGGGAAGGAATGAAGTGTGGCTGTGTTCCAGTGACACTGTTCATGGATGCTGAAATTCGAATTTTATAACTGTCATGCACTACAGAATATTCTTTTTGATTTTTCCAACCAGTTAAAAAGATAAAATTATTCTTCACTGGTGGGCTGCACAAAAACAGGTGGTGGGCCTGGTCAGATTTGGCTCCTGGTCTGTAGTTTGCAGACTCATGAACTATTGTGAGGTTAGAAGGGGCTGTTCTTGGTGATGGATGGACGGTAGGGGTGCGAGAAACTCAGACGTGAGCAGAGGTGGTACGTTTGCCAAGGGGAAAGGTTAGAAAGGACCAGGCTCAGGGGGAAATCAAGAGTTTCAAGAGGGGCAAGTTAAGAGGGCCCTGCCTGTGCATCACTGGAACACAGCTGTTTGGAGACAGTGGGGTTTAAGTTTAGAGCTCGGATGAGAGGTGTGGACTGAAGAAGTAAATTTGGGAGTTACCAGCTTAAAATGATATTTAAAACCATGGGAGTGGATGAAATCATCTGGGAAAAAATAGTAGAGTTGAGGAGATCCTAGGAGCAAGACTCAGGGGTTTCAGCAGTAGAGAGGAAAT